ATTCTTTACTGCAAGGGTGGTGAGGCATTGAAATAAGGCTGCCCAGAAAACTTGTGAATGGCCCATCCAGGTTTCATAGGGCTCTGAGCAATTGGTCTAGTGGAAGGTGGCCCTGCCCATGGCAAGGGGCTTGGAACTAGATCATCACAGAATCATTTATGTTGCAAAAGGTCTCAAAGATCATCAATTCCAACCTTTGACCAAACCACCATGTCAACTAGACCATACCACCAAATGCCACATCCAGTCATTTCTTGAACATCTCCAAGTATTGTGACTCCACCACCTCCCTGGGCAGTTTGTTCCAAAGTTTAACAACCCTTTCTGTGAAGAAACTTATCCTAATGTCCTTGCTACAACCTCCTTTCTGGTAGTTGTAGAGAGTGATGTCTCCCCCGAGCCTCATAGGACTTACAAGGTCCTTTCCATCACAAACCATCTTATGATCCGATAACGGAGAAGATTGGCGAGTTGTAGCTATGATGAAAACCATAATGGAGAAAATTAATTTCTTTCAACATGGTGTCCCAGTCTGATAAGACTTGGGAGTGTTCGATCAATTCTCCCAATGCGAATTAAGACACAGACAAGGTCAAAATACCATTAGGGAGTGAGACTTTATTATTGGTTACTCAGGGAGAGAGACAAGGGGTGATAGGAAAGTTAGAAACAGAAAAAGGGAGAAGCAGGAAACATTTGGGATAGTGCAGCAGAGATAGTCACCACCATAGGCCCCAGCAGTATCCCAATGATCCCTGTAGCCATGTAGAAAGGGGAATAGTCACCACTATAGGTCCAGCAGCATTCTGATGATCCATAGTTGTCTTTTCTTTGGTGGTGGGTGTGCGTGCCATGCTCTGGACGCTGGTCCTGTTTCTAGGGCTCTGTCAGGCACTGATTGCTCAGTTTCATGGACAATGGTGGGCAACGGTGCCTCATGGCCCTGGCAGCTGGAGGGGATGTTGGTCAGTATCTGGCAGATGGCTCGGCAGCCAGAGGGTGTAGGTGGTGGACAGTGGTGCCTCCTTATCTCAGCAGCTGGAGACAACCTGTGACTCAACAAGCCTTGAGGCAAACAGTCCAGGGGTTTTCAGTCTCCTACACCAAGTTATCAAAGCCAGGCAATGTCAAAACAAACCTTTCTTAAAGGTCCCTTACACATGGGCAGTGTCAAGGTAGCTGGGGAGGAAGTTGTCTTGTGCAGTGAGAACCTGAACCTATTTGAACTCCTTGTTGCACACTGACTTCCTAAAATCAGTGTGTTTTGAATGAATGGAGAAAAGAAACTGATATTTAGAGTAGATGAAATGGTTTAACATGGGGTAGTTATGAAAGGTCAAAAGCACACTACTTTGCAGGAATGTTCCTTCTCAGTGCTCCATTTGCCAGCATATACAGAGGCTGAACTTAGCCTTTCCATTTGCTTTGGTGTCTGAGATAAAAGAAGACACTGATAGCCAATATCATTTAATTTCTCCATTGCATTATAAAATATGATAAAAAAGCTCTGCTAAAGAAGTAATTTATAGCATTTTAAAAGTGCTAGAAAGACATAAAATTGTGTATTTATTTAGCTTTACTTTTCCTGTAATGAATATATATAAGCTAGATTAAGAGGAGATCTTTTTTTTTTTTTGCATGGGATCAAAGATCTGATAACCTTTCTGGAATAATAATCTGCTAGGTCTACTTGGAAGTACAGCTATTCTCTGTCAACTTCTTTCTCATTTCATTCTAGGTTAGAGTGGTTGGTCTGTGCTTCACCCACAGGCAGAGAAATAAACAGCAGTCTGTGTGGCAGCTTCATATCACTCAGTTACTTCTTCCAGTCATTACTTTTAATGAACAGTTTGTTTCTGAATTCAGCAATAAAGGCAGATGATTAAGGCAGACTATGTCCTGAATCATGCAATGTCACTACTATGCTTTGCCTAGGGCAATAATCAAGAAACTGTCTGTCAGGGCTGAAAAAAAAGAATTTTTTAAAAAAAAACCCAAACAAACAAAACCTCAAAAAACAAACCCTAGTCGACTAAGTCAAGCATCACTGTTCTGTGAGGAAGAGTGAACAACTGATCTGTTAACACAGACAAGAGAATAAAACACCTGGACCTACTCTATGTCTGTAAGAAATCTGGAAGATACTATCTTCTATTTTTCCTTCTGTAATTTTTGTGATACCCAGAATGGCATCTCCAGCTCTTCACTGAGAGGGAAACATGGACAAAACCATTTTTCAAGAGGAAAGAAAGAAATTGTGTGTCCAGGAGAGACAATGAATATGAAGAGGTTAACCTGTTTAAATCAGTAGAAGGATTAAACTCATATAATTATTACAGTTTTGAAAAAATACTTGTGTATAATTTATGGAAATAGCTGAATCATTATGTAATAATTTCCTAGAAGTGCGTACTTCTTTATTGATTTCATTATAACTTTAATATGTTATGTGTTTGCCTTTGGTATTTTTATCGAAGTGATACATCTCCATGGCCATTTTGCATCTAATACAATAACACACTTCAGGCCAGTACTCCAAAGTAATAAACATCCCCATTAAGTGAAAAGATTTGATCCCATGTTACACATTTTGTAATCCAATCTGATTGTTGTTACTCTTTTTATCTATTACTGTTGTAGGTGATAGGGGCATATTTTTTTCTCACACTGGTTGTACATACAGACTAAAGTTGGTTAAGCAACATCAGCACATCCAAGTAGTTTGCTCATGAAAATAACTGTCCTCAGCTTAATTTGTGACTTTTTAAAGCCTCTCAAATACCTATGTGCTGAACATAAAGGAAGTCTTAAAACAGGATAATCAGTCTGCTCAGAGTGACTACCAGCCTGGGAATGAAGCCAAACATTTATCAATGGGTGCAACAACAGAACAAAAATACTGCAGGGATGAGGTTACAGCCATGAGATATGCCATGAGATACGTGGTGAAGGGATTGCTGTGGAGATGATGGACTGCTGATGGGGTGACAGGTTATCATTCTAGCTCATTCTACCTCACCCTTATCACTGCAGTTGGTCAGGTGGAAGAGGGACTGATACTTAAGGTGTAACTATTGTGTTGTCTTCCACCCTTGGGCAAGACACACAGCCTTTGTAATGTCTCTGTATTTCATTTACATATAAAGTGGCATCCCCTCACACCCTCACCCACCTTTTATGATGACAGTAACAGAGCATTTGACTGCAGTCTCACCTTCACTTCTCCCAAATGTATAAATTGGCATTTGAAAATTCTTCATGGCAGAGGATGAGCAAGAGAGTTTATTTTCTGCCAAATTTCTGTACTCTTAATGCAACAAATACAGAGCCATGTCTCAGGCTGAAAAAACCAGTTTGTCTGGCCCCTTCATCCAGACACTATCACCAACAGAACATTGCCTTTCAATTATATATTCAGAGGAGGCAGGGGAGACAGCAAAATGGCAGTTTAACACTAGCTTTCATCAAAATACAATCGAAAACAGGAGACAGATTTCACAAGTTACTGTGGTAGTCCTAACCTCCTCTATTATTTGGCTAGAGAAATCAAATGGCTGAATTTTAGAGTAGATTTTGTCTTCTCTATTAATTCTCTTGCTATTCAATGTCAGAATTCTGAAGAGTACTCAACTGGCATTGATATTAATTATTGCACTGTTACTCATATGGGGGAAAAAAATAGTGTTTCATCTAACTTGTTCCCTTTGAGTATTTGTATTTGCGTGGCACTTACAGCCTCTAAGTGAGATCAAAGTCTCATTCAATTAGCAGTGTGTGCGCATTAAAAGACACATGGTTATATTAATGCATACACACACACAGACACACGCACATTTTACTGATATGACATCTTTCCTTTGAGTCTAAATGGTCAAGAGACATAAAGGTGAGGAGAATGAATATATTTTCCCTGAAAGAAAAATGGTAAAGAAAGCTTAACTGAATCTTGGAAGTATAAAACATGCTAAAGAGACAGGATGGCAGTAGTATTCAGCAGGTCCCTGACCCGTCATTGAGAGCATTTCTTTATTTCAACATGTTCTTCCACTGTTTGAATATTAAGAAAATAAATATTTCTGTAACTGTTTTAAAATCTCATTATACTTCCTACAGAATTTCTGAGGGAGAGGGAATACATAATCTAACATATATATATAGCATTCTAATATCCAGCTGAAATAAAAGGAAAGTGGCAAACCCAAAACAAAACTATGAAGTCATAAAGCAGAAATTGAAAGTGTCGTCAAAAGCATTCACAAGGGGGAAAACCTTAAAAACCAAAAAATGATGAAAGAAAACTTCTCCCACAGAATAATTAAATTTCAAGATTTTGAAGAAACAGGAGCCAATGAATGACTTCAAAGCATCCCAACCTGTTTCTCAGAATTTATATGCAGGAAAGGAGGAACATCAGAGCTTGTCTTTACCATGAATGCTTATTGCTTGACACCAGTCATCCTCATACTGTTTTGCACCACTGTCATCTCCAGTTTTCAGTGCAACCACCTTCCTTTACAGCAAAGAAAAGTGATTGAGAACAGCCTGCGACTTTTGGACAAAATGGGCAAAAAGTTTCCTCAACAGTGTCTAAGGGAGAAAACGTCCTTTGGATTTCCTAAGCAGGTTCTACAGCCCAGACAGAAAGATGCTGTCAAAGCTGCCATTGAAGAGGTCTTCCAACACATCTTCTACATCTTTAGCAAAAACCTGACTCTAGCTGCTTGGGATGGGACAGCTTTGGATCAGTTCCAAAACGGACTTTATCAGCAAATCGAGCAATTGGAGGGATGTGTTATGAAAAAGCACAACCACTACTGTCGGACTAAGGAAATCAGCAGGCTGAAACTGAAAAAGTACTTCCAAAAAATAGACTATTTTCTTAAAGACAAACAGCACAACCGGTGCTCCTGGGAGATCAGCCGTGCAGAAATGAGGAGATGTCTTCAGCTGATTGATAAAGTCACAAGAAAGCTTAACAACTAAGGTACAAAAATTTTAACCTCACATAACTTGCAATGTTCTACGTTCTATCTTGTGTCAGTGCTTCTAGTCAATTTTGACTGTACTTAAATAATTATGCTCCTGAAATTTATTTTTGCAAATGTAATGAATTAGTCAATGTAAGTAAATTTTTTTCCTTGGTAAGCAAGGTATCTAGCTAGAAACTAATCTATATTAATTTTTTCAGTCAGGGTTACTCCATCTGAAGGGACTGTAACCTTATGACAGATAGTGACGTCCTGCAGTGTTTTCTGCTGATATGTGCTGCTACTTTCCCTCTCTATTTCACCTACACATAGAGAATCATAGATTTTTGCATGGATTACACATTCCCCACCTCACAGTAATTGTTAGGTTTGTAATGAGTGGGACTGTGCCGAAAATAAAGTAGTACATTGCTTATTTAAGTGGTCTGACTTAGGTTAAGAACATGCATTTTTCTTTCAGGGTTTGTATCCTCTTTTCCAAGAATGTATTTTTTTTTACAGCTGAGTAATATTCACTTTGTTCAAAGATGTAAAGTAATTATAGAAGGATTTGTCTACATAGGATATAGTTTGCAGTAGTTATGGCTTCTATAGTATCTTCTCAGTTGGACAGTGTTACATTTAATTGAAATATATTTGAGTCCTCTATCTTGGGACAAGGCTTTTATTCCTTCCTGCAGTGATTCCAATTCACTTAAATGTCTTTCACAGGATTATTTTAGATAACTTTTCTATATAAAAGTACCTGGGGTATATAAGTGCCTGTGGCACATCCTACTTGCTTACAGGCATACTCATCCTGTCTACTGCAACCTCAAACATCACCATCCAGTGCTGTGTTTTGTTGCTGCATGAGATCTGTGTCTTTGCTCACAAACTGAACCACAGTAAGGTATAGCCCTTGGTATTCCAGTTAATTTCCCCTCCAAACCACAGAGCCTTCAGTAATAATTACAATATAATCAAATTCTTTAGAATAGCTTGCAATAAACTGGGCCTGGATTTTACCCTTGGGAAAGTGTCCCTGGGTAACTCCATTTCAGACAGGGTGTTTTCCCTAGTCACTTGCTGTATGTTAATACTGCAGGAACTGAGTTATATCCAGGCTCTGTTCACAATTAATATTGTAAAAAAATTGGCAAAAATCCCAACAACTTAAAAAAAAAGCAAAAAGCTATTGCCTATGGCTACCACAACATGCATTTGGCACAGGCTTCTGGGTCTGGCATAAAGAAGCAGAGGAGAGAGCATGTCTGTGGCTCCCAAGAGAGGGTGGTGTTAGTCCTGGAGGGCTGAAATTGCTACAGGTTGGTTTAGGCATCAGGTAAGGAACCACTTCAAAGCTTTTCCTGATCTCCAGCCATTCAGAGAAGTGTCATTCAGAGGAGCGATGACAAAAAGGTACATCTAAACAAAAGCTGGACCAGTGTAAACAGTAGCAATGACACAGGTCTCAGGTACTGTATCCATGACACAGATCTCTTTTGCAGGGTGTACATCCTCTCCTCTACCACTGCTGAATGCAAGCTAAAGAAGTGATGGGACACCTGGGTATCAAGTATGAAGCTGAAATACCAGAAGTCAAACCAACTTCACCATGATCTAGAACAACTGAAAAGACCAAAGAAACAGACTAAATTACCAGAGTCAATTTTCTGCCTGGTGACATTCTGACACAAATGTTACAGCAAAGTGTGTATTTCTTGGGCTTTGGAACTAACAGTACTTGAAATGGCTCCACCCTGGCACTGTTTCAAATCTTATTTCTGTTGCTTGTTTGATTTTTGTGCTTCTTCAAACCTGTACAATAAAAGGTCATTCAGCCTACTTACCCTTCGGATTCTGATACCCTGGGTGGTTTCTGCAATGTAGTAAACTGTTACTGAAATGCCCTCATTTTTACTGAAACTTGGAATTAGCCAGAAATATTTTTCAGCTGCTGTCTCAGGAAGGATCCCAGTTGGATTGTTAATTCTTATCTCACTAATTGTCCAGAAACTCTCATACCATTAAACTTCCATTTTAGTTCATAACTGTCCTTAGAAATCTCATCACCAAATTAAAGTATGTTTTGACATATTTCCTTCAACCCAGTACTTTGCAGTGCAGGAAAAACACAGAATGGGCACTAGAGGGCAAAGTGAAATTACAGACCAATGTAAGAACTGTAGTTGAATATACGTGTATTTGGCAAGACAGTTTCAGCTCCTCATGAGCATGCTGCTTAAATAAAGCACTATATTTGCTTATATATGCTATATAAAGTACGTGGTAGTATACTAGCATGCTCAATAAAGTACTATTGGGTTTATAGAGGAGAACTGAAACAAAAATGAACTCTTTTTGAAAGACACTAATATCTCATAGATTGTGGACAGGAGCTGCTAAAACAGCATTTGATTTCAATTACCTTTTGGCCAGCTGTGAGGTAACAGAAATTATTTGTACTGAGACAATGTCTAGAAGACACATTTCAAGATGGGCACCTTGGAACTGGCATAGTTATGCAAAAATAAAAAGAAAAATTCATAGAATCATAGAATTTAGGGGTTGGAATGGACCTTACAGATCATCTAGTCCCAACCCCCTGCCCTAGACAGAGACACCTCCTCACTAGATCAGGTTGCTGAAGAACTCATCCAACCTGGCCTTGAACACTGCCAGGGTTGGGGCAGCAACAGTCTCCCTGGGCAACCTGTGCCAGGGTCTCACCACCCTCACAGCAAAAAACTTTTTTCTAGTATCTAACCTAAACTTCCCTTCCTTCAATTTCAACTCATTACCCCTTGTCCAATCATTGCACTTCCTAACAAAGAATCCCTCTCAGACTCCCTTGTAGGCCCTTCAGATATTGAAAAGATATTGAAAAAGAGAATAGCAAGCCAATATGTATTTGTTTTATCCTTGTTTTTAAAGGAAAGGTAAGGATTCTTAGAGGTAAAGGAAGAAAACTGAAGAGGCAGAGGATGCTCTCTCTTCAGCCTTGCCATCATAACATTTTTGAGCAATTAGTTTTCTGGAGTGGATTTATGGGACTGAGGTCAAAATCCCTGTCTTACGCATGAAAATTCAGAACAGCTACAGCAGAACTGAAGAATGCTTATTTGAGACTTTATTTAGAAAAAAAATTCACAAGACACAATCAACTGCAGCTGTTCAAAGTATATCTTCCATGGGTTTGACTTGTTCTATCAGCTCTGGCTTTGCTTCGTTTTTAAACTGGGGAAAAAGAAAAGCCGAAAAAAAAAAAAGATGTCAAAGCCAAACCAGAGGAAAAATCCCAAAGCAAAACATGACCAAAGCCTGTGGAAATAACTCTCCAAATAATCACCCAGGATTAGCCCTTGTTGCTAGGAGGGACAGCTGTGAACTCCAGAGCCGCATGGGGAATTTGCAGCAGTGGCTGTGGTGGAGCAGGCTGGGTGGCACCAGGGCTGGGAGGGGTGGGCAGGACAGGGGATCAGGAACAGCTCACGGGAAGACAACGCTCATGGACTGCTGCGTCCTGCCAGTCCTCACCCCTTCCAATCCAGTCTGCCCCTTGGCAGGGGTAGTCCTGTTTCCCCCTCTCAGCTGTGGAGGAACACTGAGTCCTTCCAGGGAGAGATCAAAGGGAATACTAGGAAATGAGGGTGTCTAAGATACAGAGTAAATCCTAGAAGAAGGTGTCCGTCCTCAGTGTTGACAGGCAGAAATTTATTTCAAAGCAGATGAAAAAAAAAAAAAGAGGTGAACAAAGCAAGTAAGATTGCAATTGGTACTTTTCAATAAGGTGACTGTGCTTTTTAATACCCAAAAATCTTCCTACTAATCCTCATATAGGCAGGGATGCGTCATTTGTATCAGCATTTCCCACACTTCTATTAACATCACGAAATACTGGGAAAGGTGCAAGGTTTTTTTTAAGTGCTGAGAGTTCCCAGGGGAGCAAAGTTTGACATGGAATGCAAGGACAATCTTTCTTCCCAACAGTTCAGGCATGCCAGTGCCATGACCCAGCTGGCAAACTGGAGCTGTTGGGGAGCTGTCTTACTGCAGCCAGGCACTGCAAACCCCACCTTGCTTCCAAACACCATTTGAGCTCTTCATTGGTTGTCTTCTTTACTCTCTGTGAAACTTTCAAATTGAAATCCCCAGCTCACATGAACTGGCAACCCACTGGTTTAATTTCAGGGGGCCTGGGGAAGAAGCAATGGTAAGTGATGAGCACATCAGCACAAGGAAATTCATGTTCTGCCCCAGTACGCAAGAGGCTGCAAGGTTGGTTCATTTTCTAAGACCAACCTTGTTGAGTCCAAGTGCTTGCAATTACGACCCTAAAACCATGTTACCTTCAGCAACAAGGAGTTCAGTGTTGTAAGCAAATAATATAATCTGCTTTTAAAAGTGTAAAAGTAAACACAGTTAACACTCCCCTCTAAAAAAATAACTGTTAGAGCATGATGAGGCATTTGCAGAGTCAAAATCCACATTAAGGAGATTAACTACTGAGATTTCAAATAGTGTGTCTGCTCCTGCACACCAGTTACCATCACATCTACTCATTGTAACTCTTACTGTGGACTGAATGCTTCAAGTTTCTTATCTTGGTGGGCCAGAGCCTACACAGCTTCCTCTGGACTGAGCTGGAGTACTGTGTGTTACAGTTCATTTTCCCAGAAAGGAAATATCTTGACAGACATATTTATATAAAACAGAAAGCTTTTCTTCTACGAAAAATAAAGTTTATTTTACTGTAACTATTTTTCAAAACATTGCTCTCTCTTTAAGCAATTAATATACTTTCTTTTCAAGTCTCTTTGGATTTGAGATGTACTCAGTTCTGGTCTCCACTTTTTGGGAAAAAATCACATTGGTCATAACAGATTTTTGCTTATAATTTTGTAATGATTAAAAGTAAGTTCCTGCTGCATGCAGTAGAACTCATGTTGTTGCACTTGGGACGAGAGTTAAATCCTGTCAGAGCTACTCACTTGTATTTAAAAAGGATTTATG